AGCCTGCTCTGCTGCAGTCCAACATAGTAATTGACTGCAAACCTCAGCACAATACAGACAGACATTTCACAATATGAATAAACTAATTCGTGATTAAAAACGCTGAAATGGGACATTAGCTAATATTTTCATTTACATTTGCAGTTTATCAAAAATTACTAAAGTGTGAAAATAATCTCTGATCCTTATCCCTATTTTTCTCGTCTCTCTTTGAGCATGATTTGTATTCTAGTTGCCACACGCTGCCTTCCAAATCGAAGGTCACAAGCTATCAGTTTTTCAGCTTTAGTTTGCTCTGCGGTTTTTAGATTTCTGACATGGTGGGTAATCCAAAGTACAAGCAGCTTGGACCATGTTCTGTGGTTTCACCCACATAGTGCTTTAAACCACATAGAGCTTTTTCTAGAAAAATTTAGCTGAGGCAAAACTTGATCAGCAGCAGAGGAGCAGTCGCTGATCCATGAAGTCATAAAAATGTATCTGTTTCAGTTCGCTGACGTGTCTGCAGTACCACAAAGCTGATCAGTTAGATAAGTACACAGGTGCTATAACAGAGGCAGCAGTGTCCCGTACAATGTAGCTTCTCAGCATCCACATATCTTGCATTTTGCTATTCTGTGTTTCTTTTTCTCTTATTCTTTAAGTGTTTGCTGTCTGAGCACACCATTGTTTTGTTTAAGAACAAGTTGATCACAGCCTGACCTCTGCTGGCTGAAGTTGGTGTTACATATGTCTGAAAAATCATGCTGATGATGACCCTTCAATGAGCCGGGCCAATCTCAGATTATATTTATGTATAAAGTTATACCAGACTGATTTAACTTTGTGCTTAAGCATGAACCGAGGTCCAACTGCATCATTGTTAAAATTCTTTAACCCTTTAAAGCCGGTCAGAGCAGCACGCTCCGTTTTGCGTAACTATTTTTAAATCCCGGTAGAACTGCAACCACGTGAGCTAGCGCAATAATTTTTTTTGCATATGAAACCAGAGGAGTTGTACTTACATCTTATGCCATCAGCTTGTCCTCGGTCACAG